AAGGGCGAGGAGGTGTCCGTGTCTCTGCTTTGGTTATTTTGAGGAATTGCCTGGACTTTCCTTCATTAAAATAAATGGTGGGGATGAAGAAACTATTGTGGGTGAGAGAAGAGGAACCAGCCACTCCCTGTACCTTCACTCTTGAGCATTTCAGGAAACTTTCCATCTCAGGTTCCCCTGATAGTCTTGGGAACAAAGGGGAACCCAGGATCACTTAAAATGTCACGTCGTCATTCTTGGAAACCCTCATCCAGTGTCCAAGCCCTATGCGCGCTCATCAGATCCTCCCAACAGCCTCAGGATGTAGGTCTTGTTGTCCTCATTTGCGCGTGGGGAGACTGAGGCGGGGGGGGGGGGGGGCGTGAGGGGGTGGGGAGGATCTGATGAGCGCGCATAGGGCTTGGACACTCGATGAGGGTTTCCAAGAATGACGACGTGACATTTTAAGTGATCCTGGGTTCCCCTTTGTTCCCAAGACTATCAGGGGAACCTGAGATGGAAAGTTTCCTGAAATGCTCAAGAGTGAAGGTACAGGGAGTGTGTTGGAGGGAAGGGTGGTAAGTCCCAGGGAGGTGGGGGGAGTGGGGTTCTTGGGGACGGCCAACTGCTGGAGGTGCAAGTGGACAACCGTTCCCGTTTGTGTTTGGACCAAACCCCAAGCCCACGCCCGGCACATTTCAGGAACAAAGCTGGGGTTTAAACCCAGGCCGCTGGGACCCGTCTAAAAGGGACATGGTTTAGGGACTCCTGAGTGACTCAGTCGGTTCAGTGCCCAACTCTTGATCTTAGCTCAGATACTGATCTCAGGGTTGTGAGTTCAAGCCCCACATTGGGCTCCACACTGGGTGTGGAGCCTACTTTAAAAAAAAAAAGTTAGAAAAAAGGTGAGATGGTTTAAAACCAAAGGTAGGCAAATATTTAAGCACTTTTTAAACCGGCCTTGCAGATAGATGCTGGACTATGTCCAGAGCCTGGTTCTAACCTATCCTTGTCTGGAGTCGCCTTCCTGGGAACAGAGCACCAGAAGCTTCCACCGGAAGCAGTGTCTGTTACACCTTTGAAATACGAACATACATGCACTTGAGAAACGTCACAGGGACAAGTGTGTCCTGAACTGGGTTATTGCATGTCTCGAGGTCATCCTGGAGTCAGGTTTAGAGGGGAGGGTCTCAAAAACAAGAGGGAGGGACCCTTTCTGGAAGCTATGAGCCAGGGACAGAGTGTTCCTAGATATGACAGAGAAGATCGTTCTGGAACCACAGGTGACTGTGCCTCCAGACAGGCCCCTCTTGCTTTGAAGCCTTTGACATGTGGCTTTGGTGGCCTTGAGGGTATGACAGGCTGCGGTGGGAGGTACGGGCAGTCTGGAGCAGAGGGAGGGAGAGGACAGACAGACCGGGCTAGAACCTGCCCCCCCGACCCCCTACACCGGGGCCCCTGCCATGAGGCCACTGTGTGCCCCAGGAGGAATTGCTTCCCCTCTCTGCTTTTTAATCAAATGAGGGGGTGAATGTCAGAGTTTAAGGTTTTATTATTATTTTTTTTAATTCTGGATCAAGACAGTGAACATTTCCCGGCCTCCAAAAACTCCCCCTCCTCCACTCCTATCAGCTGAGCTGTTTTATGATTCGTGATTCTCCTTGACGGAGCACATTATTCTTTCAGACTCTTTCCTGTTCGTTCTAGACCCGCCCCGTCACCCGCCACATGTGGCTGCTGAGCACTTGGGGTCTGGCCTGCATGCCTTGCTTTGTGCCATGTGTATAAAATGTGCACAGGGTTTCGAAAAGTTCCTGCACAGAAAAGAACATGGAAGGTCCCATTAATGATTTAGTCTATTGGTTCCATGTTAAAATGGCAGTATTTTGGATCTGTAAAGTTTAGATAAGAATCCTATGAAAATTGGTATTGCCTGGTTCTTTTTTCCCTTTTTTGCTAGAAAATGAAACATTCCCTGTGTGTTAGCACTACTTCAGAGTCAGGACTCCTGTGGCTGTCGGCATCACCTGTGTCTGCCCTGTAGGCATTTGGTGACACGGGGAGGGGTGCTAGGGACAGTGGCTGAGGGTAAAGGTGTGAGCAAAGGGGACGGTGGCTGTGCTTTGCTCAGATGTGCTTTCTGTGGTCCTCTGCTATGGGCTAGCCTTATGTAGGCTCCTTCCCATCCAGTGTGTTGTTCCCAGATTGAGGGTCTAGCTGCCTACAGGGCTGGTTTTGCTGTTTCTGCCTCTTTTTGAAAGGTCACAGTGAAGCTCACTTCTGGGGGCACTGGTGTCCACTGTGCCAAGTGGAAAGCCCATTCTGAGGACTGCTGGAAGGAACCGTAGTGGGGAAGGGAGGGACCGATGTGACTTGGGTTTTAGGCTGACTCAGACCTTCTGGGGAATTTCTGTAGTGTCCACACCCTGAGGGGAAGTGTCAGTGCACCTTTGAGGCCTCTGGGGGTGCTGAGCATCCTGTTGTGGGGGTGGGCTGTGAGGCTTGGTGGGGCCCCCTCTACATGGCTCCACCCCCTCCCACTCCTTTGGCCCCCTGGAAGGCAGATGCTTCTCCCATCGGGGGAGCAGGTGAAGTTGCCTCTCTGTGTTTTTTTTGTTTTTGTTTTTTTGCTATAATCATTTTTGCCTCACCTTCTGGTTTTTAGATCATGTCTGCGGTATCTAGTATAGAGTTTGGGGGGGTGTTTTTTGGTAGTCTGATACATAGCTATTTTGCGGGGGTAATTTTGCTCATTTATGTTTATTGTTATGTTACATTTTTACTAGACTCTCTTATTCCGGATTGCTCCTTATTTTGGCTGTGATTTGTTTTCTGTATGCTTCTGGATTTAAGTTGGACTCTGCATAGCTCCATGTACAGTTTCCCTGTAGATTTCTTAGTGCCTTATCAAACCTCTTGTTAATCTCAATGTCCTAATGGCTAACAGACGTGAACAGGAGGTCTCATATTTCTTTAGTCACCATATATAGATAGCACACAGCAGGGGAACTTTGCACTTCCTGCTAGAGGCATCTTGAGCTGTTGGCTTCCTCCTCCTCTTCTCTCTGCCTCCCCCCCACCCCGCCCCCGCTCCCTGGCACTGGGGCTCAGGTTGAGAAACATGTCAGTTCTCTGTTCCCCTTCCTGGCCCATACGTCCAGATTGTGTTCAGTCACTGTGCTGAAGACAGACACCGATGCTTAGCCGCACAGGATGGTGGGATGGGAATAGAGAGGGTCAGAAGGCTGTTTAGTCATTCTGGGCTAGTTACACAATCTCTTCAAGCCCAACCCCGTGCGGTGGGTCTTATCTTAAAAAGAAAGAAAGCAAGCAAGCTAATATACCGAGGGAGGATTAAGTGAGATGTGTGAGGCTGCACCTGGCGTGTATAAGTTGCTTGATAAATATTAACCTTCCCTCCCCCTCCCTGTTAGTATCTTAATGGCTTGGCATGGCAGACAGTTTGTCTTTATACTGTGAAACTTGACCTTGAGTGTTCTTTTGGTTTACTCATTCTTCTTGGAGGCTTGGTGACTTTTTTTTTGGTAGTCTTTTTTTTTTTTTTTTAATTGAAGTGACATTCAGAGAACATAAAATTAGCCATTTTAAATTCTACGATTCACTGGCATTTAGTACATTCACAGTGTTGTGCAACCACCATCTCTCTCTAGTTCCCAAACATTGTCATCCCCCCAAAAGAAACCCCATCCCCATTAGCACTCACCACCTCCCATTTCCCCTCAAACCACAAATCTACTTCCTGTCTCCGTGGATTTGCCTTTTCTGGGCATTTCTTATAAACAGAATCATACAGTTTGTGTGGTCTCTCATGTCTGGCTCAATGGTTTTGATCATCCAGGATATTGTGTATCAGCACCTCATTCCTTTTTACAGCGGAGTAATACTCCATCACCCGGACAGACTATAGAGCTTTTCTGTCCACAGACATCTGGGTGGTTTCCACATTTTGGCTATTAGGAATTATGCTTCTGCAAATATTTGTGGACGAATGTCTGTGGGGATGTGTGCTTTCTTTCCTTTTGTGTAGTTCTCTAGGGATTGAGTTCCTGGATCATATTAAAGGGTTTTAAGAATTAAGTTTGCTGGGGTGCCTGGGTAGCTCAGATGGTTGAGTGTCTGCCTTTGGCTCGGGTCACTATCCTGGAGTCCTGGGATTGAGCCCCGCATCCGGCTCCCTGCTCGGCAGGAAGTCTGCTTCTCCCCCTCTCTTTCCATTGTCCCCCCTGCTTGTGCTCTGTCACTCTCTCTGTCAAATAAATAGATAAATAAAATATTTTTAAAAAATAAAATAAAAAAAAGAATTAAGTTTGCCAATGTGTGACCATGCCTGGTACCCATAGGCACTTAAGGAATGGTGGTCATTGTTTATGCTATTTTCTTGTGGATTTTTTTTTTTTTTCTGACCTTCTGATTTGTTACTCCTATTTTGGCAAATTTCTTTGTATTCTCTTTCACCATCCTGAAATTTTCCGTGTTTGCTGAAGTCTTGGGGATCCACGTAGCAAAATAACTGTTGATTCTTCGTGGCTCGGTGTTCTCAGATGAGCCACGTCACCTGCCACGCGCCTTCATGCCACAGAGATTTACTGAGTACGTCACGTGGGCCAGGCTCATGGGGATTTATGGTTGAAGTCTGTGCACCCCAAGGGCGGACAGTGGCTGTTCCTGTTCAGCTCATCAGTGGCTGATGTGACTGCAGCCAACCATGGTGCGAATGTTCACACCATGGAAATGGGCACAAGTTACTGTTCAGGACCTGTCCCTAGCACCCCCACCCCCAGCCCCTATACTGTCTCTCTACACTGTATCCCGACTTCACCCATTTCCTGATCTCCAGTCATGACTTTTTCCTCTTCTTGCCAAACCATGCTGCCACCAAATTTTTATTTTGATCATTTCTTAGTATTCTAGGCGCCAGGACTTTGTGGTGTGTTTTCTCAGCAACACTTTCATCCTGTCCCTTCTTCACGGGAACTCTGTGTTTTATTTTGTTCTTGCAGAATTTTGCTAAAGAGTTTGTGATCAGCGATCGGAAGGAGCTGGAGGAAGATTTCATTAAGAGCGAGCTCAAGAAGGCGGGGGGCGCCAATTACGACGCGCAGACGGAGTAACCCCCGCCCTTGCCCTGCCCCTTGCAATGTCACCCACCTGCTCCCCGGGGGAGGGGACCGCGGCCTCAGCCACCAGCCTGCCAGCCCACCAGGGACAGGAGACGCCGTGAGAGGCAACACGCGCCCCCCTGTCTGCAGCCCACCTCCCCTTCCCCGCTCCCCTCCTGAGTGCCCCCCCCACGCCTTATCTCCTGAAGCTTATGGAACATCTTTCTTTCATCTCCCTTTCCTTTTCCCCAGCTTTTGCTTGTTCTAAGGAAAAATCATTTTGATGCCGAGGCCACGCACCTCAGCAGAGCGGAAGCTTCTCCTGTGGTGAACCCTTTTCCTGGCCTCTCCCGCCACCAGCCTGCATCGCTGGGGGGCCAGGCCGCCGTCTGGTGTCCCTTTGCACCCACCTGCTTGGGGGAGGAGGCCACCGTGCCTGTCGCGGGGTCACCTTGACCCGCACACACGTCTATCCTATGTATCAGGCTCAGGCCACCCCCCCCAAACCCCGAGGCTGGCCCGGGGGCCCCCCCCCCGCCCCCCCCCCCATTCAGGGTTGCCTAAGCTGGGGATCCGTCCGACGGGGACGGTGCTCGGCAGTGAGACGCTCACGCCCGACTTCGACCGAACAGAAGCAAGAAAATTTGCCTTAACAGTTGCCCGGCTGTGGCATGGGCCTGCAGTCTGCAGCGGCTCCTTCCTACCCTTAGGGTTGAAGTCTCATCGTGGCACAGAGCGGGGGCACAGGTCCAAGTCCAGCGGGGATGAGGAGTCCTTCCAGTTTCCCTTCAGGGGCTCCCCCAGCGACGAGGACGCCTGGGAGGGAGGCTGGGGTGTGCGGCAGGAGTTCCGGGTAGAACTGGGGGCCGATGCCTCACTTTCGGGGAGGCCCTCTGTGCTTGGGGGGGGTGGGTGGCTGCCACCAAGCCGCCAGTGGAGCGGGTCCCCGCCCTCGGCACCAGAAGGTCTGTGGCGTTCATCCCAGGTCAGCAGCGCACGTTCAAAAGGATTTTTTTTTCCAAAGGAAGATGAGATCGGCTTTGTCCTTCGTGAGCACGGTCCATGTTGTTCTTTTTCTTCTTTTCCTTGCTCGTTTCATTTGGGGGTAGGAAATCTGTGCTGTACTGGGGTCGGGAAGAGCATCTGTCCTCAAACAGTTGACAGAAATAAATGTTTTTTTTTGTTTGTTTTTCAAAAAACAGGCTTGTCTGGTTTGTCTGGGAAAGCGGCTTTTTTGACGGGATAGAGGGAGGCCATCGTCGTATTCTGATCTAACAGGCGTTGGTGGAGCCACTGGGGGAAAGTTCCATCCGTATTCAGTCCCTTATTTCATTTTTAGCAACAGCCTGAAGAAACAGGGGCCATTTGTGTCCCTGTTTTATGGAAACTGAGGCTCAGGGAGACGGAGCATGTGCGTCACCTGAGGCCACCTGGCTAGCAAGTGCAGAGCTGGGATTCGGACCCAGGTCTCCCTGTCCACTGCCGGGGATGGGGCAGAACCCAAAATCAGAGTGGGAAGGAGTCCTCCAGCCCGCCCCCAGCCATGACTGGGTGCTAATATCTACCCCCTCTGCTTGTAGCTGTGTGGCTTTAGGCAAGTTAGTTAACCTCTCTGGGCCTCGGGTTCCCCGTCTGCAAATTTAGCAGAAATGTTGACGGCTGGGATGGGTCGAAAGGCAGAAGGGGCAGCCGAGATCAGGAAGGTGTCCCGTAGGGGCTCAGCTCTCCTTACGTCAGGCCCACCACTGGGTCTTGTTAGCTCTGCATGCCCCAGATTTTTCTGACACTTGGAACAGAGGGAGCCAAACTAGGTCTCCGGCTTTGCGGCTCGTGGGTGTTAGTTAGCTCTGGTCAGAGAACTCGGGACAATTACAGATAAGGAGAAGCCCCTTCTGGAAGCGAAGCCGGGTTCTAGGAGGGAAAATTCTGAAGGTACTGGGCTTGGTCAGAGGCATCAAGGAGGGCTTCCTTGAGGAGGTGACACCACCTGGGAACTGACGGAGAGGAGCAGTGACGTGGGCAATGGGAGTGAGGTTGGGGGGGTCAAGGGGTCTGCAGACAGAGGCTCCATGGGGATGTTTGCTCCAGGCAAGAGCAAAGAGGATAAAGCTGGGTTTATGTGTCAAGGAGCTTGGTTTGAATGTCAAGTGGCAGCTGAGGCCTTTGTGGGGATTTCAGAGGCACCTGCTGACAGTGGGAGGTCTCTGAGGGCAGAGAGAGGCCCTGAGGGTCCACGTCTCCATCCCTGTAACCAACACCCAGTAACCAGCACCCAGTAGGTATTGGGCACCATCGCCTAGAATTCCCTCCCCCAGCTCCTGTCCCTGCCCAAAGCCTGGGCCGGCCCTGAGCCCTGACCGCTGATGGAGGAGTTGTGGATGGAGCTCTGGGGACCCAAGTCTCTGCTTACATGTGCTCGGGATGACCAGCTGGTCGTTCAGCAGCTGCTCCACATTACCCAAAATCGAATGGCGGATGACAACCACCATCTTATTTTGCCCTGGATTTTGGGACTCGGGAATTTAGGAAGGGCCCAGCGAGTCGGTTTTCACTGGCAGGGGGGCAGGGGTCTCATTTGGTTGAGGTCAGATCCCCAGGCTGGACGTCCTGGTGGCCGGCAGCAGACACAGGAGCTTGTGCAGGAGCTCAGTGGGGTGTGGATCTGCGCACCCAGCGTGGCCGCCCGCTCTGGCCCAGCGGGGTCGGGGTTGTGGACCTCCTCCCCCAGAGCGCGCGTCCCCGAGGACCAGAGGGAGGTGCCTGGCCTTTGAGCCTCAGAAGTGACATGGCAGCATTTCCACGGGACCCTCCTGGGGAAGCGGTCATGAGCTCCCCAAGCTCAAGGGCAGGGGACACGGACCTCCCCTTTCAGTGGGAGGAGTGCCAAAGCTTGTGTGACCCTGTTTGTGGCCAGGCACACTGCCAGGGCTGGGGCACCCTCCTGCTCAGGGGCAGAGGCCACCCGAGGTAGGACAAGCCGACCGTTGCCCTGGTGTCTCTGTGCCCTCCGGGGAGCTCGCTGCTCCCGGCTCATCGATCCTTGGGGGAGGCTTCTGTCTCTCTGCCTTACCCCGTGCTCCTCGTGGGTGCTGACTCCCCAGGGGGCTTGGCAGTGTGGAAAGCGCTCCTCCTGCTCTCGAAGCCAGGACCGTGACCAGGGTACTTACTGTGTCAGCCGGACTGCTAAGCACAATACCGCGGACCCGAGGCTTATAGATGGCATAGATCTATTCCTTCTAGCCTGGAGGCTGCGGGTCCAATGTCAGGCCACCAATGTGGTCAGATGAGGGCCCTTCCCTGGTTCTCGAGGTGTCCTCACCGGGAAGGGGTGAGGGAGCTCCATGGGGTCTCCTTTATAAGGACGAATCCCATTCCTGAGAGCTCTACCCTCATGACCCCATCACCCCCGCAAAGGTCCCACCTCTTAACGCCATCGTGCTAGGTGTTGGGGTTCCACCATCTGCCGCTGGGGGACACACACATTCAGACTAGGCTGTGCCCTCACACATTTCTAGGATGAGTGAGTTGGACCACGCTGACACCTCAGCACGACGACTTCATATTATGACGCTTCTCTCTAAGTGGTTCGAGGAGACCATCCTTGCTCTGGGGAAGGGCTGAGCCATGAGCAGCCTCCAGCCTGACACCAAGGCAGTGACAGAGCAACTAGACCCTTCTATCCCTGCTGGTTGGTGCCACAGCCCAGGGTCCCACCATGCTAGCTCTAAGTTTGGCGGAAGAGAACACAAACCCCTCCTGTGGTGTGTTTTGGGAGGTTAGGCTGCCATGTGGATGGGGCTTGGGGGGGGGGGGGACTCCCGTCACACCTGTGCTCGCTTAGGACTTGGAGAGAAGTCGTCTCCACGACAGCCTGTGGGCCCGCCTGACCCCCGCTGTGGTTCTCAGCGCTCACGAGCCTCCCAGCCCCGAGCAGCCCGGGCGCCTCCAAGACTCCCTTTATGTTTGAGCCTAAGTTCTTAAGTCATAAAACTAAGAGAAAGACATTTTTAGGACTTAATTCTTCCCAACATTGTGCTTTAATTTCAGGCCCTTCCTTGCCCATCAGAAAAGCTCGCCCCAAATTTAGAAGATAATTCCCCTCCCTGACTACAGCTGCGTATCAGCCCTTTGCTAAAGGCCCTTAAGAGTGCTTCCTTGCCCTGGGCTCAAGTCTCAGCTTCCCAGGAACAAGGGGCCAGGAGGCCTTGTTGGTCTCTCTCTGACCAGGACTGTGCACCTCCCTCCCTGGACCCCCGATCTGGTCGTCCTTCCTTCACTCCCTCCTTCTGGATAGTGACGGGTCTCTGCTCTGAGCTGCTTCTTCTAGAAAGTCCCCCCCACCCCACTCTCTGTCTTGGGCTGAATGGCGGTCCCCAGAGATACATCCGTGCTTGGGTGTGAGGTCTTTGAGATGTACTTATGTTTTATTTTATTTTATTTATTTATTTGACAGACAGAGATCACAAGTAGGCAGAGAGACAGGCAGAGAGAGAGGCAGGGAAGCAGGCTCCCAGCCAAGCAGAGAGCCCGATGCAGGGCCCGATCCCAGGATTCTGGGATCATGACCTGAGCTGAAGGCAGAGGCTTTAACCCACTGAGCCACCCAGGCGCCCCGAGATGTACTTATGTTTAAAGATCTTCAGCCGAGACCATCCAGGATTTAGGACGGGCCCTGAACCAATGGCAGGTGGTCCTTATAAGAGAAGGCAGAGGGAGGCTTGAGACAGAGACGCGGAGGAGGAGGCCAGGTGAAGACAGATGCAGGGGCCGGAGGAGGGACGCCTGAAGCCACAGCAGCTGCCGGAGAGGCAGGCAGTGTCCTCCCCCAGAGCCACCTTTGTCTGGAGCTTGGGCCACGCCTTGATTTCAGACTTCCAGCCTCCAGAGCTGTAAGAGAAGACTTTTGTGTTGCCTTAAGCCCCCCCCTCCCCCCCCTCCGCCCCGGCACTCCTGCCCCCAGCTTCGGTGATCAGTTGTAGGAGCCCCGGGTACTTCCTCACATCATTTGCTTCTCCCCCTTCCCCAGTAACTGTGACCAGGGCCGGGACAGTGTCCCCTGTGCCTCTCACACGGTAGGCGCTCAGCCAACAATCAGTGCTCAGGGCCCTGGAGCCGGTGGGGCCCCGCCCTGCTGTCCAAGCCTACGGAGAACCCCGACCTGCTCCCACTGGGTCAGATGTTCCGTGCGGAGTTAGGCAAAGAGGCGGGGCAGGAGGAAAGTCCCGGCTTCCTCACCTGGGAACTGGCTCCCGCCTCTGGCTCTGTCCCCTGTCCATCCCTGGAGGACGAGGACATAGCTTATGTGTCTGTCTACCTAGCTGGGGCAACTGACCGGCTCCCCCACCTCCAGGGGCTTCCACTCGCTCCCCTACTGCTACTCCCTTTTAATTGTCCCCGGAGGGACAATTAAGATACCGCTAGGGAGGCTGCTGCCCAGGCTGGAGTGTTTCTGTCGCACGGCTGGGGCAGGTGTGGGATCTTGGCTCCCTCTGG